ATTTTGGTGAGGGCTGTATCTTTTTGAAAGAATACATTGTTATATCGCCTGTAATATATTATTACTATAATAGAGTCTAAAATAATCCAATGATATATACTACTGTCTGAAAATTTAAAACTGAGATCTAGGACTAGAAATTAACCCAGAAGTCATGGTTCATTGGATACACCTCGTATTACCGCGATAAGTCTAAAAAGCATTCCCATTTTCGTTTAGCGAAACGAACCCTTGATTAAAATCATTCACATATAAGGTACCTACGCAATGTCATATATGGTATATAGCACAGCTTTCAAGGTCATACATTTGGTTAATGTGGAGATGCGTATTTAAATTAATTTACAGTAAATGCGATAGCTACATCTAAAACCATTTGTATTTACTAGAAGTGCCAAAAAAACAATATATTTTTATATTTTTTTATATTATAGCATTAGAATGGCACATAAACTGATGGTAAGTGGTAACCGTCGCTTATATATATATATATAGCATTACATCATGTTATCATGTGACGCCTGTAATATTAGTCATGCTCTACGAGATGACTAAGATGTCATGCTTCTATATCCTGTAAAATCACTACCATATCTCATCCTTAAACCGAAACACTGCGTACAAATCATACTGCATTGTGGGTGTAATAACAAAAAGGTAACTTTTTTGTTCAATGGGTGTGACTGATGTACTCAGTAGTACGACTTAGTAGTAGACGACTTATTACAAAGTGTAATTCGGATTATATTGTAGTCATCTATAACATACTCTATTTTTAATTTATTATAAAATAAAATCGTCTATCGTGACTATCAATGCATAACGAAAACTAGTTGGTCGAGAAAGTAAAACAATAGAACGGACACTTAATTTCTAACGCTAAGAAAATACCTACTTTTGAAGATTTCATCGTAACAACATCACGTACACTGTGCTGAGAGTGACAGTTGTTTTGCAATGTTAACAAAATCCCTACAATCCTCTATTTGGTAATATGCATCAAAAATACATAATTGTATATTTATACATATACTCGTATTAATATTTAGAATATTTTAATTACTAAACCCAGGACAATTCACACAGCGCCATCTAGACTATTGATACTAGATAATTACTAGATAACTGACATAAATACATTTTGTTTTTCGTAAATACATCAAACAATCATGATTACGATTATAAATATTTGTTCCGTGCGAGGAATCAAACCCGTGACCACCGGAAGTAAACCACAAAACCACCGAGGCACTAAACCATCATTATTATTATATTAAAAAAAACTTGTTTATTGTTTTCATATTTGTGTTAGTTTATATATACAAAACCAATTGCGGCTATGCAGAACGCCGGATATGCAGAAAACGTTGTGAAGGGGTTGAAAGGGATATTATAGCAAAAAAAGGAGAAAAGGCTGGAGCATGCACGTCATAGTTTTTTCGTACAAAATATCGTTCCGAATATTTTTGTGCCCGACAGCAGCGCTCTGCTATGTGATGAACTATGGAAAACAGAACTGCAAAACCGACCGCTTTAATAAAACTAAAATTATTAGGAGAGACACTTTTATCGATTGTTAACCGATTGCGTGAATGACGGAGGATTTAGTTTGACGGTATTTTTTGTATAATACGTGTTCGTTGACAGTCAGTGACACCTGCGATGTACGTACTTTTGTTTTTACTTTCTAACTAAGAACCTAAAATTAAAATGCTTAAAAAATATAATACAATAACTAAAATATATTATTAAAAGGGGTCCCTTTAGGCAAAGTTCCGAAATATTTATTATATAAAATATACTACGTTATAGTTCTTATCATTTCTATCTAGTATAGGTATATCTAAGTTCTCTAGAAATATGTATTTATATACATGAACAACATTTTCTAAAAATCATTACCATATTGATATTTACCACAGAAATTTTCGTAGGGACTGCTTGTGTGTAGTAAAATTTTTGACGTGAAAATAATACAATCGAGAAAAATGGGTTAAGTTATTGGATTAATCCCAAAAAAAAAACCCATTGTGTAATTGCACGTGTGGAAACACGCTACTGTTATAATGAGCAAAGGCTATTTGAAATATTTTCGAAGCCGTTCTATGAAATAAACATCCACAGTGGCAAGTCAAAGGTCGACTAAGAGTAAAGCAATCAAGTGTGACAGAGAAGGTAGACTCATCTACATAAAAGGATTAGTTAGACCGTCCGGTGCTACGTTGAGAAATTACAGAATTCACAATAGGACGCCGAAAGGTCTATTTAGTGGTTAGCTGATGAATGTGTGAATACGTCGCTATTTCTTTATTAAACAAAGTTCGGTTTAAAATTTTATACGGTTTACTTAATTAGATGAAAGGTGTAGTATTTTCAGAAACGTTATAAAAAATAAATAATAAATAATCTCAGGACAATTCACACAGTGCCATCTAGACCCAAATTAAGCTACCTAAAGCTTGTGTTATGGGTACTAGACAACTGATACAAATGCATAGATATGTTTTTTTTGTAAATACATACATATTATACATAGAAAATACTCAGACCGATACAAACAATCATACTCATGAATACCAATATTTGTGCCGTGCGAGGAATCTAACCCGCGACCATCGGAATTAAGGCGGTGTGCTAAACCGCTAGACCACCGAGGCCGTCAAATGGATAAAAATTAATAAACTAATGTTCATCAATATATATATGTAAACAAGTAATGAACAGCAGAGGGTGAACTCACTGCCCCCTCTGAGTTATACACCGTTTTGTCTCGTTCATTACTTTTAAATTTTATTGTTATGTGAGCTGCAATTGTATTAGATTTTATTTGAGACAAATAAAGAAGATTAATATTATTATTATTAATAAGACAAAATTTTAATAATATAGTTATAGGCTCTATTAGGTACAGTAATAAAAGTATTTATCTATTTTTAAATATAAAGTCATTACAAAACAGTTTTTTTCACAGGTATGTTGTTCAGGTCCAGACTTACGCAATCGCTCATGTAATTTATTGTATATATAACATTTTAATATACAATATATAGCAATAATATATAGTCACTTCTATAATATTACTATATATATAACTATTCACTTCTACATCACATTCACTCTTGTATACTCGTGTATTACAATTGCCCAAAGACGTTCATTATAAGTTGGCTGGAAGAAATCTCTTTCCAAGATATAAGAATACCTAAGAATGTGTTTATCTCATTATTTTAACAACAATGTTTGAAGTTGCAAGTGATTGTGAAATAAAAAGTATATCAATGTTTAAAAGTAAATAAATAGCTTATCCTCTTAATTACAATTTATAAAGATTATTAAAAAATCTCAAATGAATTAGCACTTTTTTCTCCAATAATGAATGGATTATAAAACTGTAATCTCGTGATTACATCTATAAAAGAAATTGATGTGCCCACTCGGAGAAGAATACGGCAATTTGCAGAGCAATAAGAGATAATTTACAGAGATAAAAATAGATAATTCCATATCACAACATTTCATATCGTCTATTTCAAAACTTAATAAATCATACCATTATATGTAAGGTTAATATATTAACATGAGCAATATTTATTCATTCATTCATTATTGTTCGTAATGAAAGATTGTATAAGATTTAGTATGTTTGTAGGTCTTTGCAAAATTAAGTCGTTTGCTACTTATAGATATATCTATCTAGCTATGCTTAGATATGAATATAATTGTTAACGTCGTCGATTATATCACGTAATTTAGTCTAATTATACTTGTAAATACAACAGAATTGGGATATTTTACAATTTGAATATTAAGGGTATTAAATGTATGCAAAGACCACAGATAACATAATATTACATACAAAGACAGAGAAATATAATAAAAAAAAGTCGTGATACTATTCATTCAAATTTAAGTGATATGTTAGATTTATTCAAAGAAAGAAGAACCGAGAATACCTAACTCTTTTATCTAGACAGACAACAGACAATAATATTATATTTTAAAATAATTGTACCCATTCATATTATTATATGCAGACTGCATTAGACCATAGTATGGTTGGAAGTTTATGCAGCTATGTCATGCTACAGCAGCAACAAAAAAGGAATCACTTAGATAATAAACATAGTCGTGAAATTCAGGCTTGTAATTGAAATTAACATGTATGTAGTTCTGTTTTCAAACTCTTGCAATATAGTGCACAGATATGAAGTTCAATATTGTTTAAAATACATGTACAGTTTTGTAACCGAGGAAATCTTTTTTACGAAGTTATCTGTGTGCGGGTATACTTCAGTCTCATTTATTTCAATCAGCTTTTTTAATAGTGCGATTTTGATTGAAAAGTCAGATTAGACAGTGAAACTTTGGAATAAGACCATGACATCTAGTTCTATAGAATAAAATGTATGAGTGGTACGATGGTAGTGTCAGATTTGAAAGTGAAATTACAGAACAGGAGGCATGCCATCTAGTACTCTGAAATGGTAATACAGGAATGGTATCGCGGGGTTACATGGTGTCCGTGGGTCAGATGGGCTTGTTTGTCGTTCCAAAAAATACATAAAAAAACCTTACAATATTTTGAAAGATATTCTAATAAAAAATAAATTATTAATCATTTACAATCACGGTATCTAATTTATATGAATAGTTTTGTACATTGTGTAAGATAACAACTATCTGACTTTACGAACTAATAAGAGAGAACAGAAAACATTCACAGATACACACTCTAAGAGTCCGTAAGTATTTCACTTTAAGTCACTGTATATCGGGGTAAATGACGTAGTATGTTTTGTAAGGAAGATTACACAATAGATCTAATTTTCATTGCATGTTGTTACAATTATAAACATTGTAGATAAAAGCAATAAAAACAAATCTTTTAATAGGTACGATGAAAATTGAGATAAAATTCTATATATAAAAGTCATTTAGCACTTTTCTGTGCAGTAAACGAGACTTTTCCAGAGATTCAACTGTTAAACTAGTTAGTCATAATGGCTCCTAAAGTGTGGTCTAATTTTGTGGCTAAGAAATCCGATGGTACCCAAGTTAAGGTTAGAATAGAAGACATGCCCAGTAACCGTTTGGACGAAGTTTTAAATTTGTTGTCGCTCTATGGTGAAAATGAAGATGTTTTTGTTAAATTATTAGGTAAGCCATTTTATATTTCTTTATCTGACCCGCGAAGCTTTGTTTGTGTCACCTTTTTCCTGTTTTTTCAGCAATTTTCATTGCAGTTCTATACTTATTGTAACGTAATATTATGTAGTTATCTTCAATAAATGGACTATCCAACACTAAAGGAATTATCGATATTAGTAGTGCTGGAGATGAATATGTAAATGATGAATGTGTAATGAATATATAAACTCACAAACATTACCGTAATACAATATTAGTATATATTAGTAGTAGTAGTATATATATATATACCAGTGCATTGTATATATATGTATATACATATATATACAATGCACTAGTATATATACGTTACTTACACGATGATAGAGGATCTATAGGTGAAAGTATTTTTAAAATCAGTCATGTATTTTTATACGTTATAAACGAACAAATAAATAAAATATACATAAATCAAAGAAGTAATTATTTTTTTATCATACTTACTTACTCGAAGTTCAATATTAATTAATAATGTAATATTAATATTGTAATGTGTTCATTGACGATTGTCATATAGGAACATGATTATTGGTCTTAAGTCCGACGTATATACTCTATTTTCCTTAATTAAACCCGAAAAGTTTTGTATGAAATTCATGTAAGAACTCTGATCATTGTAAAGACTTATTTGTAAATTTTAAAGGAATTCCAAATAACCCTGAGGCCGCGGAGGAATTGAAGCAGACCACCCGTGACATGCTGAGTGCTAGTCCGCATAATATAGTTATATGTCGTCCAGACGACGACAGTAATGGCGATATTATAGGGGTGTCTATAACTGGTATAACATTGGCAAAAGATAAGTTAGAGGACTTCAAAATACCTGTGAGTGACTCAATAGTAATAGTATTGTTATCATCATATATTTAGGCACACTCTTTTAATGGACGATTATGAAATATGCAAGTGAATGATAAGATAAGAACGATGTGTAATTAAGCCTATCGTGATGAATGTATAAAGAATATATCCCAATGGTTCCAAGGCAACCGCGTGGAGATCGATCTTATATTTCTAGCAATGAGGCAATAATCCCTTTATTAACAATCACTTTCTCCATCATTCCTTCAATGAACAGTAAATCGGAAACAAAATTTTATTGTGTTAGATTTTAATTCATGACCTCTCTTTATCCTCTGGGGGTAATTTAGCTTACTAAAGTAGTCACGATGATCTCTATCTAATAAATAATCTTGTATGAATAGTATTAAACTTAAACGTAACACGAACTATAATACATTGTTTGACTGTTGGGCGATATTTCATATTTTATAGAGATATATATTTTTCATTATTCATATTGTTTACCGCGTTTTTACACGAATAATTCTATGGTAAATAACTTTATTTACCATAAAATTATTTATGTTAAGACCAGGTTAATAACTAAAATAAAGTTGTTAAACATGAAATTTACAAAAATACTATATTATTTTCAGTCAAAAACAAAAGAGATGGAAAAGTTATGGGACTATTATATAAAGTTGTTTGGGCTCTATGATATTTGTAAGGCCAATTCCTTGACGAGTTTTTCCGATGACAGAGGTCTGGCAGTGAAACCTGGTTATGTGGATTTTGAGATACGGAAGGAACTGCTTAACGTTGGGTAAGTGAGCTTCAATTGAGTTTACCTTAAGTTTTGTTACCCAACTTAGGCGAAACTAAAAAAAATGCTTATTATTATAATCGGTATTTATGTACATATATAACTCTAAAAGTAATTTGACAAATGAGTATGGCTTTGATATTGTGCTGGACATAGTATACGTGACGTTAGATAAAATTAATTATGGCGATCTCTAGAGGATATAGTGCTGATTATAAAAAGGAATGGGAGGAAAGAAAAATGTAAAAGTGACATACCTATACGTAATAAAAGCAATAGCATAGCATAAACTGGGGCCATAATTAACTTTATGCAATATATGTATGGTACAGTTATAATCCCGATATTGTTTAATTTTTTTATAATTAACTTCATTTAAACAAACGTCAATATTCTAGATAAGAGATTCGTTTGTTTTATATACCACAACAAATTAAAAAATAAAAATAATCAAACGTATAATAACTTATTTTTTCAGCCGTAAAATTAGTAAGGCAAATAATGTATCTACGGTTTTTGCATGGATGCAAACCAAGTTAGCTCAAGAGGCAGCAGAGGCTGATGGATGGCTAACTGCATATGAGATAAGCCGCGAAGATCTGGGCCGGCAACTTGGTATCACCATATCAGAAGGACCGCCATCTTGGAAATTAATGTATGGCAAATCTATATAAAATGCTTTCCATAAAGTTGTCGTCTTTACGTTATATACTGATGATGTATTAAATAGAAATATACTTAATTTAAAAAATAATATGATAATTTTGAATTACATATTAATTAAACCAAAAAAAAGAACATAAGTTTGCTAAATTATTGTCCTAATATATAAAACACCATTTTACTATTATTTGTTTGCTTTTGTAATATTCTTAATTAGTGGTTGTTTCATAACTTTATATTTCAAAGGTTTTAATCAGTTATTGTTTTTATTACCTATTGTATGTATAAAATATACGTAAGACGATATATGTTGTACTATATTAAATAAACATATATTTTAATTTTAATTGTGTAATAATTAATACATGATGACAGGACATAAAAACTAAACAGTTAAAAGCCCGACCTTCCTTTACTTGAAAGAAGAGGTGTATTAGTAAGTAAGCTGCTGACACTCAATATACGCGACGTTAATACTCGTAGTAGTAGCTATTTACATCGCGCATACAGCTATGACGCGGTCGTCATCCAACTGCGGCTGCGCGCTTTTCAATATTCTGCATCTGTGGTGTATTGCGTATGTGCGGGAAAATAAAGTAGATAACTACAAAATGACTTCTTCTGCAGACATACTGATTAATTGTTGTACTCCTGATTCCTAATTATTTTATACTGTTCTACATAACTTTATATGTCTGCAATTTGCTTTTATTTCAATATACTACTTTTATATACAACAAACCTACTATAAATACACCCTAGTAACATACCTAGTGTCTATATGAATACAATTTCAGAAATATAAAATTTAAAGAATTTGGTGGAAATGTCATGAGTAAATAATAGTGATTTGTTTAATTATTTATAGAAAGATATATATTAACCGCGACTCGTTTCATAAATTCCATATTTTTTTATTGGTTTAGCCGTGTAGTCGTGATAAACAAATACTGTTTAATTTTCTTAGTCGTCAATATTATTTCTATATTAAGGGTATTATTTTTTAAAGACGTAGTTATACAGGGCGTACTTCCTGCATTAAAGATTTTTGATTTAGTCTCTTTTAAAATTTTGTGATTATATGTATGCAGACGTATATGTAATGAAAAATCTTAAACTATTTTTAGATTTAATACATACAAATATTTATGTATAATCATTGCTCAATGCATAATGTTATATCTACTTGTATTCACAAAGATTTAGGTCACCATACAGTTAGCCCAGAATTGGTGTTCGTAAAGGGTTGTGGCTTGAATATAGGCGTATCTCCTATATAATACATTCATGTTTTGAATTTAGTTAATTCTGTAATGACAAATTTTATTACTAGTTTACATGGTATGTTACGTTATGTATATATAACAATATCAACTATTTATTATACATGTAATTTATCGGGAAATATATATAATAAATATAATCTTATATGGCAATACCCATTTCGAAGGACTAAGGTGACTTTCTTGCCTCCATACCCAGTAATTTTACTTCCCTATCCTCACTCTCCAACTGAATTAAGCAACCAGATTCGTTTTCCTCTATCGTCGTATTCATAATAGTATACGACTTCATTTGCTATACATTACTTTTAAATACAATATGTGAATACACGTATTGTAAATAAAAAGGATAAAAAAATATAGGATTCAGAAAATATAGCTAAAAGCAAATATTCCGTGAATTAGTAATTATAATTGTTATATTTTTTCCGTAGTATACTCAATCATAAATTTGTATCTATTATTAGTTCGAAAAAGAATTGGTCATAAAAATCACATTAGAATATTTCTCCATTCGCTGGCATGAAGCCCACATACATCTACTAGATATAAAAGGCCCTAAACTGTTATATATTCATAGAGAACTGATTCCATTTTGCCCGTTACAAACAACATCGCTATTTGGCTTCCTACCTAGTTTGCAAATACATCATTTTCATATTACACGTTCCAACTTTTATTCGAAAAACTTTCGTAACATTTGTTTTACGATATTACTTGTTTTTTTTTTATAATGTGTATATTTATTTATACAGCTGTAATGTCACAACGAAGGATCCGCCTAATGGGAAGTGGTAACTGTCAGCTATAAACGTATCAAGGGAATAATTTAATACTCTGACATCAGAGGAACTGCTAATGCGTTGTCATATATAAGGATTAGTGTATTCTGCATTCGTACCTTGTATTTTGCCTGGTTATATAATAAAAATGACCCTGGATAATTTACACAGTGCTATCTAGTTCCAAGCTAAGCAGAGATTGTGTTATGGGTAGTAGACAACTGATATAATTACTAAGATACATTCTTTGTCAATACATACATAATATTCAAAAAAAGCATTATGCTCATGAATACAAATGTTTACACCCTGCGAGGAGTCGAACTTACGACTATTGAAAGTAAAACAGTATGCTATACCTCTAGACTATACGGAAGTGTGTTTGCCATTACAATTATGTAAAAAAGTATCTACTATGAATGCATATTTTAAATTACTGAAAACTTTTAAATGACTAAAAATACATTATGGCTTAATTACGATACTGTCTTTTTAGATTAAAGAAATGCACAAGTATGATTTTGGGTAGAGTGGTTTGGGTAAATAGATATATTATTACAATTGAATTATATTCTAAAATTTGATATTGAAGTTTTGGGACTTGTTCTATATTAATAACTAGCTACTTCCCCGGCTTCGCATGGGTGTACATGTACCTATTATATATATATATATATTACCTTCCTCTAGAATCACTCTATCTATTAAAAATCCTGCATCAAAATCGACAGCGACTTTATTTCATACTATGTAATGATATTTAAACTTGACATGCGTTTGTCAAGTTTAAACCTCCAAATATGAGAAAATTGTAAATTATTACTAAAAATTTAAAAAATAATATAATTCTGAACAAATCATACAGTCATCTAGTCTCCTAAGAAAAGAAGATCATGATTCGATGAGTACTAAACAACTGGTTGAAATACTTGAATGTATTTTTGTAATGTTTGCGATATGTAAAAAATCGAACCTGCGAACATTGGAAGTAAAGCAGTATGCTAAACCGCAAAGCTATCAAATAATGAAGAGAAAAACCATAATGATTCCAAATGTCTTTATCCATTTAGGTATAGGTGGCCCTTGGTTCATGGGATTTCAATTGGTAAAGATTAACCAATGACCTTGATTCAATGTGTTGTGTTCAAAACAGAAGCATTGTATCTTGTTTATACAGAAATGTTTTCGTAAATAAAAACAATCACAAAATGTAGTGGTTATTTTAGTAGAGATGTAATGTCCTCGTATTACTTTCAGTTTCTAAATATCTATAGTTACTGAATTAACTTAGATAATTAACACAACGCCATCTATTATTATATGTTATAAATAAGATGAATATAGTACAACATTTTAATATTATTGTACTTTAATTGCCATATATTTACACGTAGAAGGCACACCTTGAATATCGACACCTAGAAGTGATCCTAGTTTATTATATGATATCTCAAAGGCAGTGTCCCAATTTCCTTTCTCACACACCTTTTGTGCGAAACCTGAAGTACACCAAGCCCCTGTCAGGGGTATGTTATGTTCCTTGCACATCAATCGTCTGAAATAAATAGATATACAAGATCAAACATATTGACAGATCTTTATCAATTAAACAAAATGAAACTACAAAAATTGCTTTAGGATTAGTGAAGATTTAGTTTCCTTATAATGCCGTTGAAAATTACCTTTTTTTCAAATAAGTGCTGCTACGACCTTAGATTCTTGGCTTATAAGGGGAAAGTATTGAGTTTCGGGGTTTAAGGCGAGAGTTTGCCTGTTGTGTGAGTTTTGCGCTTACTTTTATATTATATTTTGAAGAATTGTTTGCAGAGATAACTACTTTCTATCGCTGCACTGTTCGCAATAAATCGTTACAAACTAAAGCACAGTATGCTTTTATAATAGATAATTTTAGTTTTGCATACTATTGGGTTCCAGAATAACTACAGTTCTTCAAATATTGCTACATAACTAAGAACAGTAAATGTTTTCTTCTGATTAGCAACAAGGACACTATACAGTAGATATCCATAGGTTACTGTAACAGCTTACCATTATAAAAAATATTTTGTTATACTATATTTGTGCCTACCTTCTTACCTAAGTCACACCTTTTTCAGCCTCCAAGCAGTTTGCTTGTAAGCTACATATGTTTCGATTATAGGGACAGATTAGGCAGTGAAATTACAGAACAAGAAGAATAAAGTCTTAGTCCTTTGGAATTGTAACCCACATTCAGTGGTTCACAGTCATCATATAATAACATGTTCTTCACTATATTTGTTGATTTCCAGCAGATGAGCTGTGAGTTTGTTTACTATTAAATTACATGAAAAAATGTGTTGCTATGATATTTGAGTACAGTTTAAAAAAAAAGCCACCATTCAATACCTGGCTTCTGCTTCAAAATAACAAATTCCAAGCTTCCTGTATTCAGGATGGACGATCATTCCCAAGTCCTCATAATAATGATTTATATTGTACTTCTTCATAATATCTTCAATACCAAACAGTTTATTATATATAGATAATATATCAATATATCTTTTTACTGCCTTTGTCTCTGCCTGTAATTTGTAATAAAAAAAAAATGTTAATTCTTGTGGTCAATAGTTTCATATACTCAAGGAAAATATGTTGTGAAATATCGGAAGTCACTTATGCATTGACTTTTTTTCGTCCCATATCATTATTGTAGGTTTCATTCGTTCATACTACCATCTAGTATTAAAGACAATAAACTTAATAGAAACATTTTTCTTACACTTCTTACGTCTTATTCAGCGGACATAATAAATAACTGAAATAAGAATTTAAAAGTAATATATATTTATGTTATCTACCTTTATATTATCATCCACATCTTCGATTGATTTTATTAGTTTAATCATAGAGGCAGCGACTATTTTTGAATGGGAATGATATTCTTTATCAGACATGTAAACTCTTGTAATGTAAGAAGGATGACTTAATATATCTGATATAATTTCTCTATATTCCCTGACAGCTTCTGGATCTTCACTAATACCTTAGTATATATAAGAGTATATATTAGCATAGATATTAGGAAAATATATAAAATTAGAGCACTTGTGTAGATGAGGTCATCTTTTCTTGCGTATTATTTATTTTTTAAAAAATATATAAATTATAAAAGCAAAACTTTATCAAAACATTTGTTTTGATCGGAACCGCTATAATCATTTACAAGATAATATATAATAAAAAGTAATTCTCAAAATGGTTGTACGAAAACGTCATTTACTAGAAATACGAGGAATTATGGAAATATAGCAAAAATAGAAGTCACGTAGTTTTCAATAAAATTAGAAAATAAAATGCTCCATAACATCGTATCTTACCTGCAATTTTGTGACCAATTTCTTCTTTCACATAATAATTCATTTTAAAATCTAAAAACGATTCCATTAGGTCTGCCGACAAGTTTTGTATATTCAACATTAATATACCGCCATCACTTTTTTTTAACTGCAATTTTGTACACAAATTGCTTTGATCCTGCGTAATACCTGAAATACAGGTTCTTATTAAATTCCTGTTATCAGTGATTGAAGCAATTCGCACGAAACGTTTTACAGTCAACATTGTTGCGAATCGATCTAAGACTTAAAATATCGCTTCACCTTATTTATAGCTTGATGCTTTAATGCACGTATTCGGTAACATGGCATATATAACATACAATGCTATTCTAGTAAATTTACACAGAAAACACATATATTCTTAAGGTTTAATCTGTATAATACGATTGAATTGGTTTTTCTGCCCCGTTGTACGTATAACTATCAATTCATATTATTAATTGAAATCAAATCTTAAAGATTTGATTTTAGATTACAATTTTCACCAGTAAATATTAAGACTTCTCTTTACTTACTTCCGAGTTTCCCACATCCTGGCTCAAAGCTTTTGTTCTCCCTCTTCCAAAAATATCGTCACCACAACTTTTTAAAGACTTTATATCTCTATTTTGCCTTTCCTCTCCAAAATACTCGAAGCTGTAGTCCACCGGCAATTATCTGGCTTTATCTCCATAAACAAACTATTAAGCACCTATCAATCAGGTTTTCGCCCTGGACACAGCACTACTACTGCTCTATTGAAAGTCACTGAGGATGTAAGGGATGGAATGGAGCAATCTAAATTAACTGTTATTGTATTAGTCGACTTTTCCAATGCTTTTAACACTGTTGACCATGATATCTTACTCAATCTTAATTTCATCATCAGTTGTTAAATGGTTTGCCTCCTATCTTCGTGGACGTCAGCAGGCGATTCGTGTCAATCAGTCACTATCGGATTGGTGCGATCTTGTCGCTGGAGTTCCCCAAGGCGGTATTTTATCTCCATTATTTTCTCTATCTTTATTGATTTCATTATTCTTAAATGCTCTTACCATTTGTACGCGGATGATCTTCAGTTATATTCTCAAGCTGTTGTGTCTAACCTTAGTGTTGCCATAGACCTCCTGAATATTGATCTTGAACATATTCGTAATTGGTCTTCGAGGTTTGGAGTGTCCGTTAACCCATCTAAGTGTCAGGCAATAGAGAGCAATCAACAACTCAACAAAATTGATACCTCCAATTTACCTCCAGTTCTTTTCAACAATCAACCAATCATATACAGTGCCCTAATCAAGAATCTTGGTTTGCTAATGGACAGCACTCTTAGCTGGAATAACTATGTAGGTGAGATAAGTCGCAAGGTCACTCTTACACTACGTAACTTATACAGACTAAAAAATTTCCTTCCTGTAAGTACCAAAATCCTCCTTGTCCAATCCTTAGTCCTCCCCACCCTTGATTATGCTGATGTGTGCTGTTCTGACATGAACGTTGATCTTCTAAATAAATTGGATCGTCTTCTGAATAATTCTATCCGTTTCATCTTTAATTTGCGTAAATTCGATCATGTCTCTTCTTTTCGTTCTCAGCTTAAATGGCTCCCTATCCGTTATCGTCGTAATATACGTATGCTATGCACACTATATTCAATTCTATACGATCCTAATTATCCTGAATACATTAGTAATAAATTTCATTTCCATGGGGACAACACCAATCGCTCTCTACGAACTTCCAGAAAATTCTTACTTCATATCCCGGCTCATTTATCCGGTCCATTACTCTTTCGCCGTTCAGGCTATCAAACTTTGGAATGACTTACCTCTTGATATCAAGACCGCCACGAGTAAAATTTCGTTTAAACAGAAATTGCGGGAACATTATTTAAATTTGTAACTTTTTTTTTTACTGTCTTTCTACCTTTTACACATCTTTCTGATATTTCCCTATAGCTCTCTCTATATTTATATATATATATTTTCTTACTTTCAACTTGAGGCTCTACTTATAATTTGATTATCAGATAATTATGTATTTATTTATATATAATATTTATATATTTATGTTTATATTTATACATATTTATGTATGTTTATTATTATATATATATATATATATATATATATATATATCTTTTTTTTTTTTTTAACATTACTCATTTATATTAGTGCGCCAACAATCTTTCTCTGCACCACTCATGGTTGACTGGTAGATAACGCCGCATGGTGTTAAGTCCGCCATATGTACACATTGTTTTTGTGCATTAAAGTTAAATAAATAAATAAAATAAATAAATAATATGTAATAAAATTAAAGAAATCTCTAAAAATATTTTTTGTAGAGTTACATATAGCTACCACATAATATAAATCTCAAAAATTTCACCTCCTTTCGTCGGGATTTGAGTAAAAGTAAATTCAGTTCTGCATTCCTCTCAATAAATAAAAATGGGCCATGAACCTTACAAAGGCTTTTCAATGGAGCTTATTTCAATGGTTATACCCTCCAAATTCACAATCGACACCTGATTACGAAGTCCATTCACGAGGTAGAGAGAAATTGTTACGTCGTACAAAATAAGGTGATTTATCGAACGTCGAGATGGACTGGAGCAACCCCCGAAATTCTTTGGCATAATAATGATCGAGTCAGTTGAGATTGGAACAAGATAGTTAGATAGTTAAGTCAAGTGCTTATGCTGCATTCTCCTGGTGGTTGCGGGTGCTCATGGGCGGCGGTAATCATTTACCATCAGGTGAGCCGCATGCTTGTTTGTCCCTTGTGTTATAAAAAAAATGTGACACAGGCGTAGTTGCGTGCGTTAGCTAGTTATTAACTATTCCTTTAGATTCGTTTTCTATGCCCCTATATCGTATTATAATTATTTAATTATTTATAATTTTTTTTGGTAATATACTCAGAATTTTTTAATCAACTCGTACGTGAATTAGTTAACGAAAACAGCAATTTAATTAGATCTAAAATATGTCAAAGAAATTTAGTATTTTATCATCATCTCTATTTAGTAGTAAAGAAGTAAGTAAGTAAAGTAGTAGTAGTAAGTAGGTAAAGAAACTAAAGTAATGTTTAGAAAATTTCATTATGAATACTAAAAAATACCATTACCTCTTTTATCTCACTTAACTACCGCAGTCAGTATTGACGTCCAGGTTATGGTCCGCAAAACATGAGATACATAATTCGCTAGGTTTATTCGAATCCAAAGAGTACATACCAGATTCGTTTGGTTTGTCAAAGTAGTCAGTTTTTCCATCACTAGATAGTCGATCTGAAATATAAATTGACACACAAAACTTTCGTTTTGGTTTGAACTTATGATTTAAGTCGAGGCAACGCGACTAAGTCGATAATGGCGACTTGTAGTATATTATAAATACTTAACTATATCCTGAAATTCTCTGTACCTAGCTGTCTCTATTGAAGTATATGTTACCCTCGTCAGGACGGGGTTCAGGTTTGTTTTGACCCTGACAACCGTTCTATGAAGATCTTTGTTTATTATTACGGCCTAATAATTCCCTTTATCTGAACAATTATGTGTTCTTGATAGCCCGAATTAACACTGCATTGATTGACATTTTCCAATTATTGATAACTCAACTATGATGGCAAAGTTTTAGTAAACTGTCAGGAAGTGTATCATCAGGGATTAGGGTTTTAGATATTTGAAATACATATATATCTATTACATGTAGAATAGTTATACAAGGTAACAAATATTTAATAATATACTTAAATCATTATCAATACGTTTCCCATTTCTCTATACCTCGACTAATCGAGGTGTAACACCTAGATTAATCGCAAGTTCAATAACTCTTTCAATTCTAAGTTTCCCTTGGACAGGTACTATGTAAACAAAAAGATTGGCTACCCATTGTTGTCTCTTAAAAATAATATTTTTTATTTATTTTATACATTAAAAATCGAAATTCATTGACAGAATTTAGGAGACAAGGAAAATGAAGACCTATACTATATATTGTATACAGATACTATGAGATACTAATATAATAAATAAAAGGTATATCTGATATATAGGCATAAGTACTATAGAAGTATAAATATACTTATTCTGAGAATTTATTTTGAAGAATATATAAAAATAAATTTTATTCCGGAACATGATTCCAATATTTCCAATATATAGGATTACATTTAATCTGACATGTTTGCGCCGTACTTTATAGCTACGACGGTGTTATTGAGATAATTGAAAATAAACAACTAGATCACACAGATATAACCTCTACAAAGCTCTTACATTTGTTTTCATAGTACAAAGTAATTTCTGATTGATTATTGAGTGGGCCTTGAATAACTTGAACTATATACTTCAGTTATGACCTGAAAGAAAATTTTATTAATATATAATATACTAACTGTCTCATCCTAGCTTCGCGTATAAAAATAAGGTAAAGAAAAGAATATTGTACCTTACCAATTTTCATTGATAAAACGGAGAAGCATTAAACTTTTAGTGGTCAATATTTCTCTTTTTTTTTTGCACACAAAACAAATTACGATTGGTATCGTGGTAAACTGTATCGTAATCCAACACTATCTATGTCTAAAAGCTAAATTATATAGATGCATGAAATATGCGCTAAATAAGGCTAGATAATAAAAAATACAGTTGTATTTACATGAATTGTAGTGCAATATTGCTTATTTTAATTAAAGTAGATTGCATATTCATATTTTAATTAAATTACAGAGTATTCATCAATGTGTATGTAAGCAACCGAAGTAATGTAATGTAACCTTCAAATATAATGTTTGTTTTATTCGAAAACAAAACACTTATATTAATTATTTAATATAACAGAAACAACTGCACAAATACGGGTTTCTTACCAACTCCACATTCGTTACGCAATCATTTGTATTATGACTAGGTATATATGGTAATATTGGTAGCTATTAATTTCTTTTTTGGTAAGGAAGAGTGTTTTTAAATGAAACTTGTGATCTCTTCCTATAAAGCGTTTATTGCAACAACTCAAACATTTTTTAATTACATAGGGATGGAGTCCCTGAAGGATCCACCCTTTTTATTAGTACTCATATGTGTCGCGTGATGAGCGATGCTTCTCACTGGTCGATTGTGTGATGCCGTCATCGACGCAACGTTTGACGTCGACCAGTGGTGGTTGAGGAAGGCGCCTGTGGTATTGAGTATTATACTGCTCACAGCAGATTTACTACTACTGTTTTAACTATTGCAAATACTCCGACTACTAAGCTAAATAAATTAAATCTAAATTAGTGTAGCTCCTACTACACTAATTTACTACTACTATATTAAGAGCTTAAATTCCTGAAAGATACGAGGTACTAAGACGAAAGTTGTGGCCATCGTAAAATATAATTGAAGTGCTTTGAACCTTATTGGTACACCTAAATACCAAAAACCGGTCAATTGCATAGGTTCCGTGCATACCATACTTTTGAAGAATGGATGAATCAGTCTCTCTCACTGATGCTAAATGTACGAAGATTATCTGTAAAAATGAAACGATGTACGCAGGCTAGATATCTATTTAAGCCCCTATATGAGTTTTTTTACTTCTTAGGACGAGACTAAATGTTTAGTGGTCTCTGAATATACCTGATCTCTCCCAATAATAACGCTGATTCCGGCTTACTTACATCATGCTGGCCAGTCGATTGTCGACTTATATTTTATTATATAACTACATATAGGAATACATTAAAATAACGGCAGTTTGCGATTAATATTATATATGACGATTATACTTAAAACACAAATTTCAGTTACAAAACATAAGATAGTGTAATATACCCACAGATTCCGATATGGTTAAATAGATATTTTGATTTCGGAATGTTTTCTTGTGATTTTTAAAGCAACTTTCTTTACCTTTATTCTCATCTTTATCTTTATTGTGAGCTCTCCATGTATAGTATTACATATATTTACCCTAAGGTAACAAGTTTATTAAATATTTTATTTTAAATCTATTTACCAAGGAATCCTAAACCTTCATTAAAATTTTAATACCGAAAAAGATTGTACAATCAAAGTAATATTATATAAAAATTGGCAGAAGCTGCAAAAGATATAAAACTGGCTATTGAAAACGCATTAACTCCTAATTAAAATACTTGATGAGTTACTTATTTTCTCAAAATTTAAATACAATGTATTTTTGATAATAGTATACAAATTGTACATCATATTGAATTGGGACTGACTATTAGTTGTGACTTTTGAAGTAACGATAATTGTGGGCGATAAATGAAACCAGGGAATTGTCGTCAGGTGTATATATTGTATATAATAATATAATAATAAGACACAAAGAAACGCTACTATCTAGAACCAGGAAGGGAAACCGAAAGGAATTATAGAAAAAAGTGACAATTTAGAATAGAATTTGGTATTTGAAATATGAAGCTTATGAAATAGAATATAGACTATGTAAATAAGTGGCCTTTATTCCACAATAATGTAATTCTAGTTGGTGATAAGTAGGAACCGTCGCCAATATATAATCAGGCCCCTGTTCCCCACTGGGTACACTGGGCACATGCCCAGGGAAGGATTGGGGCTCCCTAATCTAGTTTAATTCCTACTCCATCACCAAACGATAACCGATAGCTACTCTAGTCTCGCCTGAAAATCAGTCTTAACAAATGCTTACCGACTGTGGTCAATTTATTCGTTATTGTTATTTTTTTATAAATGTCTAGCAAGAACTTGAAACCCTCATCGCATAACAACTTTTTAAAATTATTATTTATTTTTGCCCAGTTTATTTTGAAGGTAGGGCATCCCCCATATATCCCCCATATATACATCATTAAAGAGTCGTGTTCAAAAATGAATTTGTCTATTCTAACAAAATAGTGCTTTATTACTATAGTTATAGGGGCCTCCTTATCCTAATGTGCCCAATGCCTGTAATAGGTGAAAGAGGTCCCTGTATAGTACACGAACGGAATTATTGATATTACATTATCATGTGAAGCATATATTATAATCCAATATGCAGTATACTACTGCAGATATGATAATCCAATAAGTTCGTGTTGTCAAATAATTAGCCACATATTGTAACCTCGGCACAAATTATTCACTAATTAATCAAACAATGGGCAATTAGGTACGTTAAAAGGTATCATTAACGAATAGTCTTTTTTGTCACTCAATTGGATCTCAAAATGATTAGGGTTAATTTTTTCCAATTAGTATATATACTTCAGCATAACTATGCTGATATAACTTGAAAAGAGTTGATTTCAATGTGGCCACCAGACATGAGACAGCGTTCATACAGATACCTAAAGAATTTTATATTATAACTGAAATGATAAACAGGTATAGTTATCCATATCTCCTTCAGTAGAAAGTATATTTTGTGAAAAATAATTAAACTGAAGCTATGTGGTTTGCAATTCCACAACGCGACAATATGCAATAATTTAAAACGTTATTATTTTATTTCTAGGTATAAATACGTTTGTCCTGACTGATTATCAATATATAGCCAAAACTATGTATATATGATATAATTAGAGGTATTGTAAATTCTCGACGTTGTGGTGAACGCAACACGTGGCAAGCCCACATAGCGCTCGGTATATTTGTATCCAACGTGGCTAGCTTACCGTCTCTCGGATTAATATCATCTTATAGTTTTAACGATATGATGTACCTTATCATAAATATATAACCAATAAAGTATTCAAATGATAGAGATTAACGACGTCACAATATACGTCATAGTATAGTCCATGTCCAATATATATTCTCATATTTAAGATTGTGAAATATTTCTGCTAAAATATTATTTAAACATTAATGACTTTATCATTTCACTCCCGTGATACTACTCATGCATACCATTCCGGATCAATAAAATGTCATTACTTCTTATTCTGTATTTATTTTACACTAGTATAGTACTACCACAGATAACATAATATTACATAGTACTACTAATTGCAATATTATGTATTACTACTTATTATAGAGAATATATTATTTTATTTCGTAGTTAAATGTAGGTAATTGGCTATAACGTAATATTATATATTTTAGAAGCAACGGCGTACAGCCGATCTGTCAGTGAAACCATTTATTACGCGTTCATGAATTGATTGCCATGAAAATTGGCATAGAGAACATTTATTATATTATAAGTCATAAATAATTTCACGTCAGCGCAATCGTGCATACTTTTCGAAGACGTCAGAAGTGCCTAAATAAAACAGCTATGGAACAAATAATAATATAATCTTTCATACTTTAGCCGTAGTGATTTCCCCGCGGTATAAAAGTATCATATGCTTAACTGTGTCTAGTAAAACTTTCCAGATTTTGCCTACTAAATAACAGGCCCAAAATCAATCACAATTTTATTCACTTCTTTAACTTAATTGAGGCAGTGAACTTGTAACAAAGTACCGAAGCTTTATCCTAATTTATGTTTAAAATATAAATTGCCTACTGTTATTGTTATTCCATAAGGGGGTAGGTAGAGATATTATCATCCGTTAATGCTAATATTTTGATATTTCCCTGAGTATATACTTATTTGAAGACCATGAGGCAGGAGATGAGCCTACTATCTCTCGTACATACGATGTTTCGATTAATGTTTAGAAATATAGGTTAACACATAATTTAAAGGTTTCAGTTTGATTCGAACACAATACCCATGGGGTAACCCAGAAAAGCAAACCACTAGACCATGACGTTCTCAATGTAACATAGAACTTGAAGCTAAATTCAGATTGAAGTAACTCGTAAAACGCCGAGGGATCCAAAGGGGTCAGATTTAGATTGTAAACATTTTACAACTTCATTCTCATTTGTTATATTCGGAGCGTTTCAGCTGAAAGCTTAAATTACCATTTAAATTTCAATATTACAGGAGGGTTTATTAGAATTTAGTTTAGAGTACCTTCATAATACTCTGTCAATTGCAAACAGAGTACGGTTGCTCCATAAATATTCTCAACTATTTAAGATCTCAGCATAAACTATTTCTGATATTATTGGAAAAGCAATCAAGCAGACGGTCCACGTGATGGTAAGCAGTCACTACCGCCTATAGACATAAATAACCCTACGAACATCACCTTATCATGTGACACCTATGATACCAATCACGCGGTTTAATTGTAGAGGATTATGTAAGATGTCATGCCTCTTCTCTTGTTATTTCTACTGTACAATGTAAATAAAAATTTTGCTGGCGATGATACAGGATCAGATAGTATACCGTGGTACATACCAACATCAAGCCGATACAGTCCAATTTTTTTTTAAAACAATTCACTTTTATCAATGTTCGGACACACTCCATTAATATGTGATGCAGATCTTCTATAGTATTGCATGTTTCGTAGTTGGGGGTATTCGATTTATGCATTAAAAAGGCAAATGAATTTAATGGATAATGTCCGGAACGCAGCCTTAATGCTGTGACGATTAATTTTCTATTGTACTTAATGAAATGAAACCAGGGTACATGAGGAGGCTCACATTGTAAACTTTTATACAAATACCCTTACATTTTGACCTTTCATCAAAATAAGTTTTCCATTTATAACGACTAATGCCCTTATACTTTTTAAAAATTTCATAGTGACTAGGTAACATGTCAGTACTTACCTAATCCTTCTTCTATAGCTTGTTTTGCATACATGTCAACCTTCTTATTTCCTGTCAAACCTATGTGCTGGTACCCACTGCAATATCAAGCACATGCCTTCATTAACAAACTCATTAATTTGATTAAGAATTATGTATGCTATAGCTATTCCGATTTTTCAAGATCTACATTTTAATATGTGATGCAACGCACTTTTACTATCTGTAAAGATCACTGTTCTTTTCTGGTTTAATTTGAAAGCTATATATGTTATTACTGTGGTTATGTATAAAGTTAGTAATAAGTTTCGGAAAATATGACTAATAGACTGAAAGAAGTGAAGAACTGAAAGAACAGACTGTAATCTGTGGTTTTTTTAAAGAGCCATAAGGTTTAATTAAATCAAACAAGAGGAAGGACATAGGCCGCCTTCTTTCTTTATTAAGCATTCGATGTTACGATTTGATACGGGTTGTTAACTAGTTCATAATATTCAAACGGTAACAATAAATAATAGTCTGCACATATAGGTTAGTAGTTTTATATTTTTTTTAATATATTATTAAAAAAATAGCGAATTCAGAGGCTTCCTTTTAAACGTTGCGTCGGTTGATGAAAGATGTAACTAATGGTATTTTCTTTTCATTTTCCTATCAACTATTTCATTGCCTTTTCAATGTATACTATACTGCAGTAAGTAAGAAAGAGATAGCTACATCTACTGTTATTCAATATTAAACAAAATGGCAATTGATAGGGTCTGAAATGGGCACACTAAAAGGGTCCAAATTAATAAATGTTTATGTGACAAGGAGGTTACTTGGTAGTAATAGGTACAGTTGCCCAAATAAATAAGTATAAAATGAAGAACTCAATGAGTAAAGTGAGAATTAATATAAATAACGGTAACAAAGGCTATAGATGTATGTTGTACATAAATTATAAAAAGAAATCTGTATTTTAGTAATTTGGTATCTGTACTCTGATTAATATGTAATAATCGGTAATCTGATTGGTCGATTGTAAAAAATATGAAGCATTTTCTATGGCATTATATCTATTTTCCCATTTGAAGCTAGAACTATGAAACTTTTTATTGGCATTTTGGGTTTAGATGATTACATATTTTTTTAATATTTGGTCAAAGTTACTTTTCCACGCGGACGAAGTCGCGGGTACAGCTAGTATTTTATAAATTAAACAAACTTAGTGGTCTTAAAATAGCTACAGGAATTTATAACATAATAAGTATTCTACAATAAATTTTAACTTACCGAAATATATATGTCGGAGTAGGAAAGCAGGAATACTTTTTAAAAAGCTGCAGAACCGTTGACCTATAATAGGATCATCGGTTCTACTAGTGGTAGTAGTTTAACATTACATTAAAATAATAAAAGAACAAGCGAAATTAGATTAGTTTATTATTATAATAATAATCTCTAAATATGATTATAGTCTATCTTTCATTTTATTTTATAACACAATACTTTTCTATTGTGATTATAATTACAAATTGATTCTACTAAAGTAACAAGAGTTTTCAACTTACTTCCACGCCGCTCGAGCACCGAACACCGAACTGTGGTCAAATCGTGTTCCCTCCAACTTGAACGCGCGCTCAAGTCGGAAGGTGTCGATCGCCACAGTGCCGGAAGTAAAATACCATTTTTGCCTAAGGCTTATAATTAAACAATAATAAAGCGGCATAATTACTTAAATTACCGTCTAGTTATTCTAATAATATTAGCAATTAAATAAAGCCATAAACTTGTAATATTAATAAATTTGACTTACACTATTAACCGAATCATCCGGATGTTTTTCATGTTGATTTTAGTTAACAACTTAAATGCAAAATAATTGAACATTACATTATTGTTAAAAATAACTTTTTGGTATTTAAATTTAAATCAAGATGATTGCATTATTTTCTTTTTAAAATGGTTACAAGATTTTATCAAAGTTTTAATTATTGTGAAGGAAATCCGCACGCAAATGGCGGACGTTACGCAACATCCGACATTCGCTCGACATAGATAAATTTATTTACAATTCACATAACAATTGCTTAATTCATAATAAATTTTAATATTTAATTTAGTTTTTACTATATTTAGTAATTTTAAATAACAAACATAAGTTATTAAAAAGGACTGATAATGACGCCATCTAGCGGCATTAATTGAAGCGATTATGCGTTGATATTAAGCCGCATGGTAGCTCCATCTATCGTCCTTATATTAAAGATGTAATGAATGTGATTCAGTTTCTATTAATGTTGATAATCAATATGGTAAATCAACAACAGCAGCGTCATTCATCTCCTTATTTTTATTTTGTGGGTTATAATGTAGCTGCGGCGACATATAATATACGTTTATATATGTTAGCTGAAAATCTCTGTGTACCAGCAATAAAATATTTACGATATGCATCTAACTGTACTGTTCGTACCCATTAGTAGGGCAACACTTGATTGAGGGAAGGTAGGATATAAAATAAGCATACTATTTCGGGTGTTTCCTCCGTCTGTTTGTAATTGAACAAACAACCTATGTATCTATTGAATATGTAATAAATAAATATATTATTATTACACAAGTTGTGTATCTCGTGATTGATCTAACGATGTGACTAGTATATGCCAGTTGTAAACATCAAATTCGTCCGAATATAAAATTAAAATTTGAAGATATTTTGCCTATTAGACTGATTGTTATTTTCGCAAATATGACTATTAAAAAAATATGTTTATACTATAAAAAAAGGTGTTGAACGGTAAAAATTTAGAGTTGTACGTATTTTTTAATGCCGAATCATAAAAAAAATATAAATATTTCCTTATCACTTAGAGGTATAAAAAATAGATTACAACCTATTCCCGGACCTATCGAAATCTGTTAAGCCAATTCGGAGAAGTATGATAACTAATACTGTGTCTCTAGATTCTTATATATTAGAGAGAGACTAAGGTATATTTTAAGTATTTCAGCGGAACTATTGTGAGATCCTTACTTAAAAGCAGTATTTCTTTATTCCACCAGTATGCCGAAGCTATAGATTTATGTTTGATCGTGAACCAAGCCAAACTACTGCACTGTACACAGTAATTCAAAATTCCGAGTGCGCGGTCAACATACAAGTTGAATGCTATTTTTTTTATGGAAAAGTAAATTGCTAATACATTTAGTTTACACCTGATAATCTTTCGAAACTAAGTACATATATCTTTGTGAATATATTTTCATAAGTAAAGTTAAAATTTTTGATTAGCAATATCGTTTGTAACATGTATCTTTCGCAAAGGCCGGCAAGACTCTTCAATTCTTCTGATTTTACAAGTGCTCATGCACTACGGTTATCACTTGCCATTAGGTCAACAGTAGGTAAACAGATCAGCCAACCGTCTGCTTTACATATCTTGCAACATAATATTGTAAGTAGTCCAGATTCGAAGTAAATTGAAACTATTACAGTTATATCAGCTGCCGTGTAATACAGTATTTGTGTAATTATAGTATTGATATCGACCCGACTGCTGTATTAGTCTAGCATAGATAGATCCACAATCACACACAATCATAGTTAAGGTAATCGTCCTCATTGTAGTCAATCACTACAATGAAGACGATTACCTTTATTTAAATGTAATTTCTACACGTTTGTTACGAAGAAAGTGATTTCTGAAACCAGAACAAATGAGAATGAATAAAAATATACATACAAAGTTTTTTTTTTGCTAGGAATGGTTACGTGCTGAAGACGAGATATACGAGTCAAGTCATAATTGGATATTAGTTTAGGAACGTAGGTATATACAAACGAGAACATATATACAAAAATGTGCTGATTTGCTAATTGAAGATGCGCTGATCGCACTGTGTTTTCTATGTGTATTATTAAAATAAATTAAGTATCAGTGTTTGAGGTGTGAAAGATTGTTATAATAATCATTATTCTTTAAGTAACGTGATTAAACATTTCATTGTATTGTATTAACAAGCATCACTAGTAGTGTCTGTCGATTATCTGAAACTATATTATCTGAACACAGATAATAATTAAATGTGAATATTGGTTTAAAACTTCCAACTCGAATCGTTAAATGAGGGAGGAAAAGCATGCAACAGTTGAAACACCCCAGAATAGACAAGGTAGCAGAATAAAGTGCTAGGAGGGTTCTATTTTCTCCCCTTTTTAACACTGGCTTCGTTGATGTACAATTTACTAGAAGGGTCACATGTATCTATAATAGTTTATTATAATAACTATTTTATCTAGAAACTTTATTATTACTCCTTGTTTAGTGGATTATGTCGTTGTCTTAATAAAATCTGATGTTATTATGTAGAAATCTCATATAACACTAGATGTAACTATCTAATTGATCTGTTTTCTCACATAAAATAGCATATATCCTCGTTATACAGTCTATCTTTCTATTCTAATTATTTAATTTTATTGAGTTCAGTTCAGTCATAAAAATGGTACCTATCGACATTTAATATATTTTATTTATATTGAGGAAGAGCATCCTCAACCTAATACAGGTTTGTATAAACTTCATCACTAGTAAGCACTTTTTGCATTGTATCTTGTTTTGTGAAATAATCTATATGTATTAGTAAACTATTGCTAGTACACAATGAAAATCTTTCTCATTTATAATAATGAAATGAATTAGATATACAGAATGTCGAATTTAATTTAATTTAAGTAATGTATCAAGAATAACGGATAAACGGTATGCGGAAACACAATTACGAGTATGTATCTATGTACACGAGTGCGCTTGGCTTGCATTAATTCGTATGAGGTAAAACTTGTTAACTGGAATACGTACTATTTTCATTTTACACAACTTTTAGTGCAAATAAAATGGTTATTAAAACGAACTAACACGGTTTATTTACATTTTCGGAGAATTTTCATCGTATACTTGAGCCAGGGTCTGAACTTCCGCACTATTTTTACTCTATGCAACTTTTAGTACAAATTTGAATAATAGCGGTTGTTACGTATGTCGTATGTAACTAGTAGTGCAAATAAAATGGTTTTCAAGTGAACCAACGCGGATTTTTTACATTTTCTTCGTATACTTTAGCCAGGGTACGTAGTTCTGTACTATTTTCACTCTATGCGACTTTTAGTGCAAATTTAGATAATAGCACTTGTTCAAAAGAAGGCTGAAGTGCGTTAGTACTTCATATTCGTTACTTCATACATTTTGAAGATTTCTACTCTAAATATTCTTATATTATTCAAATAGTACTTAGTTCTCCAGATTGACAATGCATTAAGGTACTACAGTCGTCACATGATAACGTGATGTTCATAGTACTCTTCTTATATGTAGGTGACGGCTTATCATTAGGTTGATTTTTAGTTAATGGCAAGCATAGCTATCCAGTTTAATAATTAAAAATAAAAAAATATTAACTTATTCCTTAATAATTAACAACGATAAATATATATTAGTATTAATACTATGAAAGTGAAACAAAAGTTTTACAATTTATAAAATTTACATTAATATAATTGTGACATTGTGAGTGTTGGAAGTATGCGATAAAATTATTGCTTGTTATCTACGAAGCACTAAAATATCAATTCAATACATACATATAGTATAGCGATGCTGACTCGAGCAGCTATTTGCATACGTTAGATGTATTCCAGTGCTTTACATGGTACCCGTGTCACTAGATAAGCGGAGTGTAAATGTTGTGTTAAGGTAGTGTATATAGACGGTGTCTTACAATATTAGATACATACTATGAATAGTTCTAATTTGAATATCTCTTTTGACAAGTGACACATTTAATAAATTCGGAAGGTATGACATTTCTAAGGCGAAGATACTAACTAAGCATTTATCAGCTACGATAAATGCTTAGTTGCTTGTATAAACAGCGATAACAAAAAAAAATCTCTCTCCATAATATTATTTTTAAATACAAATAAGTTATGTCCAAAATTTCAAGATTCATGTACTGTAATAGATATGTATCAACAGTCACTTCGGACAGGTTTCTAAAACTCGAATAATAAATACTAATGGACTATTTGGTTACAATATGAACTGAATTCAATTATATTAAAATAAGTTTTAAATTAAATTATTACAAAAAGAAACGGCAAAATTGCGCACATGACATACGCGTACAATGTACAAAAACATCAAATCTATTGTGTAGAAGTACTTTTATTAAATTTCTTTTTAAAATAAATACTAATTGATCTTGTTCATTTTTTTTACTTTGTTGTAATTGGCTAATCAAAATTATTCGAAATTTGTATTAAAACTTCCTTTTGAGATCGTTTTTTATAAGAATTTTCATTCAATATAGGTGTGAATATCCAAACTTGGAACACACTGTTGGTAAAAAGCTGCTTATAAAATTGACAAGTATTTAATATTAAAACTACAGTTTATTGTACCTAGTTAACAGAACGGGCGGCGCCTGCAACCCGCGCTCGTCTGGTATTAAAGTTTTATGTTTTGATGTTATGGAGATTGCACATGCGTGTTGATGACTGTATCTTAATTTAAAATTATTTATATTATATTCTTACTACTACTTGCGATCCACCTTAGCTTTGTACGGGTGTAAAATGTACATATATACATTAGTAAAATAATTAAAATGTATAAACCTTCCGGAAGTTCTT